AAAAAAAAAAAAGAAAGGTCTCTGTAGAATCTACCTATAGCTGTTTTCTCATAACCTGAGGAACACATTCCTCCTTCTAAATATATGGGTCATTGGTTCCTCCTGGGACTTAGGGACTTCCTGCCCAATCGACTTCACTCTCCTTTGAGAAAAACTTCCCACAGGAAGAGTCCACCCAGTATAACTGTTTGTGCTAAATTAGCTGGGCCCTTGAAACATAGCTGATTGACCCTGGGTGAAAACCTGACCCAAGTTGGACCAAGTGAACTCTCTTTTCTGGAAATTCAGAATTAGTACTAAGAAATGCTGGTCAAATTCTCTTAGGCACTTGACTTGGGAAGTGGTGTGAAACTGGAGTAAAGTGGGGATGGAACACATTTCACCACAGGAACAGAAAAAAATGCAGAGAGAAAAAGGTTGGGAGGAGAGGGTGAGAGAGAGAGAGGAAAGAGAGAGAGGAGGAGGAGGAAGATGGGGACTGATGACATAGGAGAGAAGGGCTCTGGGCCTCATGGTTCATGAAACACTGTGCCATCTATCTTATCTTTCCAGATTCCTGTGTTCAGCCGTGGAAGATTTTGTGCTAGATATTGTAAAGGCCTGGGGTCAGATAAAACAGAACAATACAGCAATAGAGTCTGTGATTTTGAAAGTAAGTTTCCATTCCTTTTGTCTTATACTCTTTGTGGAGCAGCTAGGGGCCCCTTTTTAATAAAAAGCAAACACGCTTGCCACCAGGAATTGTAAAAGAAAAAAGGAGGGAGTTGTTAAGCCTCCCTGATGAGGAAGGTCCAACCTCATCAACTTCCATCTTTTGCTAAATGAAGGGTGGCACTCTGCATGCATACACACATGCCATCTACCTAAGCACATGCCAAGCATCTGCCCACAACTAGACACAAGTGTACATCAAGCAGGTATGCACATGGTTGTACACCAGAACATGTCGGAAAGTATGTACATAGAAATACACACTACAAATACGTTCACATTCACCTCTATAACAACAGTGGCCAACATTTACATAGCACTTACTCTGTATCAAGGACTATTCTGCTTTTAATGTATTAATGTATTTAATCCTCACAACTACCCTAGAATATGGAGACAGAAAGATCACAAACTATTAAGTGATGGAGCTGAGAATCAAGGCCTTAAATCATGCAGCAGATGTACGTCCCCAAACCTACACACATACAAAGACACACACCAAGCACCCAAGCAAGGACACATTCATATCCATAGGAGCATGCCCATGAAAATCCTGAAATGTTTGTCTTTCCTCAAGTTTGCATGTTACATGTCATTTTATAGGCCAGTCTGACACAAGAAAGACTCAGCTATATATATTGATGCATGGGGACATTCAGAAACAAATATGTATTTGATCCCCTAACACCCATTGGTTATCTCATCACATCTGCCCACCTACTTTTTTCTCTAAGTACGTCATCTTCTCACATGTAGTTTTCTATGCTCAGCATTTATGGACAACTTCTACCCCTCCCTACCCTTCCTCATATCATCCCCACTCCTCATTCTGTCCTCTCAAGCATGGGTCCCTCATAACAATGTCCTGTCTCCTTCCTTTCTATCTAGAGTGACTTAATGTATGATAAGCTCAGTGTCGTGATGGATGTTCTGGCTGAGGAGGCAGCAGATACTTCTGTTGAGAAAAGTGCTACAGTACCTGCAGATAGCAGCAAGGCAGACAGGAAGCCCTTCATTCCTCAAATAGACCACATAGCCAAATACAGGTTGGAGCTGACCACAAAGGCCCAGAATCTCCAGAAATCCTTGAAACTCATCATATTCCAAGTTGAACAAGGTAAGGTGGCCAGGGTTGTAGTGACTGAGGTAGGAGAAAGAAAATGTTCCAGAGGATGGTTTACTGGCCTCACTGACTCAGGGTTTGCTATCTGACTGCTACAAAAAGTTGTCTAAAATCTGCATTCATATTGCATACAAAGTTAATATTCAGACCGCTGATTTGAAAAGCCTCAGTCCTGCTAAGCTGCCCCTTTGGTTCCTACTACCTCGCAGACAGTCAACTCCTGCTACTCATTTTTGGGAACCAACACTCATCCGAAACAATTATATTAATAGATGTTAAGTGGCCTGGCTCAAAGCTCTATCAGCTTCCACCACCAGCCATAAGACCTTTTTTCCTCCTGTTCCTGTTTCTTTCCAAGCACCAAGCCTATGACTATTTTAGAAAAAAATGGTATTCATCTCTGCATGTGTTGCACAGTGTTAATCAGGCACAAGGGCCCTGAGAGTGGTCCTGACAGTTCTGACATTAATTGCCATTGCCCAGAACTCATGACAGTCTGCAGACTTCCCAACTCAGTATGAAAACTCTTCAACTCCCTCAGTTTCTTCATTGAATGTTTTGCTACTTCTTTCCCACAATACTTCTTTGAGAAACAGATCAGAAGGTGGTGTAAGACCGAGTGTGTTCTAACTGAGCTACTGGAACTGAGCAGAGGTCTCATGCAGCAAGGAAGTCCCTTTGGCTGGCCCTTGACTTTTAGTCGTCGTGCCTTGCCCTGCCTTGGTACCTTCAGGTACAACCTCAGCCAAGTTTCCAAGAAATAACAAAAATTTCCCTTCTGCACAGTGGAAGGATTAAACAGTCAATTTGCCTTTATTTATATAATTAGTTTCCAAGCAGTGGGGATCAGATTAAACTGATGTAGCCATAACTGTCACAAGCAATCCTCAGTCCATCAACACATATGTTAGATTCAGAGGTGTAGTTTGTGGCTATGAGATAGAAAAAGATCCCTCTGGTAGGAGTATAGGTTAAACTTATGAGCTTTGACACAGGATGAGACTGAGTATCTGAGCTACACAACATACAGGCTGGTGAAAGAAAAGAGACTTCTCAAATGTTCTAGGTGTGGAGTGAGACATTTGAGTGAAAGAATGGCATAGTCCTAGAGGCTCAATTGTGGACAAAAGCCATGTAAGTAAATGAACTAATAGAATGGAGGTAGAAGAGCAGAGGGTTTCTCATGCTGATACTCCAATCCACAAACTTCTACTCCCAACCACATGTACTGGGTGACAGAAGAAAGAGTAACCAGTAAAACAAAGAAATCTCAGGCATAAATATGAAAACACAGAAACACTGTAAGTAGGCTGAGACTACAAACAGTATCATGGAGGAGATGTGATGGTCAAATGGGAGTCTCCATCATCCACCCATTAACTAAACAAAATAGATGCTCAATAAATGTTCAATAACTGTAATTAATCTTTCCTTCCTTCCATCCTTCCTCTCTCCTTCCTTCCTCCTTCCTTCTTCCTTCCTCCCTCCCTCCCTTCCTCCTTTTTTTTTTTTTTTTTTTTTTTTTTTTTTTTTTTTTTTTTTTTTTGCCTTCCTTCCTCCCACTTTTCTCTATAGTTCTGGATGAGGAAAGCAGACAGACAATATCTGTTAAGAACTTTGGTTCAACTTTCTTCTTGGAAGATGACCCAGAAGATATTAGCCAGACAAGTCCACGACGTCGTAAGGATCTTTGTGACTTCTTACCTTATTCTAGTCTTCATCACTGTTGTTTAGTTCCCAAAGAATATCTATTTTTCATGCGTCCTCTTTTAGCCATAATCCTGCAGTAGATACCGCCCCCCTCCCAGAAACTCACACTATAAGATCCCATGCCAATGTCCAGAGTAATGATCCTATTACAAACATTGAAGAGGCTGGCCTGATGAAATACAAGTTTTGAAGCTGTTTTCACTGCCAGCAAGCAAGCAGCCCAGCTTTACTTTTCTCTCAGTGGAAGTCCCTATCCATCCAGGAGAATCCCTCTTTGGAATGAGAACCATGAATATTATCTAGGGGAAAGTCATTGAGCTTGACCCTGCCTCCACAGAGAAAATAGGGTGAAATACAAGTGAGGAGAAAGGGCTTTTTTGTTTGTATCTGACACCCTAGTGATGTCTTTTGTGTCTAGGTTCTCGTCGTGGCACTCTGTCTTCTATATCTTCTCTCAAAAGTGAGGACCTAAACAACCTTAACTTGGATCACTTACATTTTACACCTGAAACTATGTAAGTATTTAACTCTATCACCATTTAATGGCTTCTTTCTTTCTCTTGTTAAGAGAACAATCTCAGGATATCCATAGTCAAATCTTTTCTCTACTTACTAGCTTTGTCACCTACACAAGTGACTCAACCAATTTGAACCTCAGTTTTCTCATATGTAAAATAAAGACCATTGTAGAACTTGCATCATGGGTTTGCTGTATTTATTACATTTATATATGAAAAGTGCTTGCACTGAGCAGTGCTTGGCAGCATCCATAGTTAAGTGTTATATGCATTTGCAGTTATTATTATTATTAACAATTAATAAATGTTAGCTGTTATTTCAGAGGACTTGCTTTTTTTTACTGTTGCCCTTACCAGTAAATGGTTGAAGATACTAAAAACTAAATGGTCATTAGGGAACTAGGCAGCAAATCTAAGGACATCTGTCTCACCAGTTCTACCTCTTTAGAATATCCCCAGCAGCCAAGTTCTGCCACACTCACTCATTTTGAGTTCCATTAAGAAGATAAGTTTGGACATTAGTTAGAGAAACTCCAATCTCTGGACCGTGGTTGAGGGAGGCAAATCTCATGTGAGAGATGTAGGGTCAGTTTAGTAATGAATAAAAAGGTAATCTAAGATTAAACAGCTAAACTGTATCCATTTTAATTTCTCAAAAGGATACAGCTAGCAATTATTTATGTTTTCTTAAATAATTCATTTAAGAAAACGATTTTTATTCCTGTCTCCAATCTGTATTCTCACCCCCTACACTTCACCATTAGCTCAAGTTTATGTCTGAGCTCTCATGGATCTACCTAATGAATTTTGATCAATAGTGCACTGGCAAGTGTTTAATGACCTGCTCTCTTGGGGGAGAAAGCCCTGATTCATTTATGGTGTAAACCGTTCCACCATGGCCTATTTAAGTTACTGATATAATGCCATTGAATGTGGAGTTGGAAAGAGATATGCATAATCAGTTTCCATGAGCTGGTGCCAACCGGCTATACACCACTGGTTTTGATGTTTGACACCTTAGATAGACACAGGAGACTTGAAAAACCGCTTGGCTTTTTTTGTTTTGTTCATATCTACCCTCTTTTATCAGTCTTCTCCCTCAAATGTGTGGTCACTTTGCCCTTTGATGTCAGACGTCACTGAGAGCAGTGGTGCAGACTTAACTATCATGGCATGTTTGTATCTAGGATACTAAAAAGTTCTTTATGGGAATAAGCCAATGACTCTATTTCCCTTCATATTGTATGTGAAGAAAACATGAGCCACTCATATATGAGGCCTCCAACAATGACCAAAATCATGAATGTTGCTTCTTTACTATGAGTTACAATCCTACTGAAGCTTCCCAACTGGCTAGGCACTCCCTCATACAGCTAATAAGCTGGTTGTTCATACAAAAAGATATCTGCACATGCCTCTCAAAAAATGTTACAGTTAGTGCCCAGTGTGGAGGAGGCCTTCCTTCACTGGTTTTCCATCATGCAGATTCATCTTCATGCCCAATGATAGTGGAACTTCTTTCTTGCACCAATGTCTGTCCTCTTCTTTGATTAATTTCAGACGTTTTAAAGAAAAATGTGTCATGAACAACTACTTTGGAATTGGACTGGATGCTAAAATTTCTCTGGATTTCAACACCAGAAGAGATGAACACCCAGGACAATACAAGTAAGGAAAAGAAACTCCCTTCCCTACATGTAAACACACAATCACAATACACATATATATTCCTACAATCTCTACCTCTCAAACAAGCAACAGAAAGAAAGGGACCCCATGGGAAGTAAAATGCCTCCATCCCAAGATTAGCCTGATGGGACAGTGTGAGCCAAATGTTGGATGAATGCACTGGCATAGTAAACTTGGAGCTGCCTTCAAATCCAGGCCTGTGGATATCTGTGTAAACACAGTTACCTGTGTTAACTGTTACTGAGAACAGGTTATGTTAACTCAGTTTAGCAAGTCACCCATCTTTGTTCTGTCTGAGAGAGCTTAACCAGGTTTCAGTAGTGGCTGTGGATCTGTTTTTACTTGACAAGGTTGCAAAGTATCAAAGATCCCTCTATTTGTTCTTGGTGTTCCTAACCTGGTTCCCCTGGACCTGTTACTTTTACCCCACCCAGTGTTGGCTTGTATGGCACCTTCTCACCCTTTCATACTTCAGATATGACCTAAGTCAGCCACAGAGTTCTTGTGGTACATTGAAAGTATAAGTAACAAGAATCATGACACCCCACCCCACCCTTGCCACTGCCACTAGAACTTCTTTCTCAAAGCAGGCCTGGGTTGAGAAACAAGTACTTTGTCAGATATGTGATTTGCAAATATTTTCTCCCCGTCTGTTGCTGGTCTTTTCATTTTCTTAGTAGTATTTTTGAAATACAGAAGTGTTGAATTCTAAGGAGATCCAATTGATCAGTTTTTTTCTTCATGGACCATGCTTCTGGTGCCATCTCTAGGAAATCTTTGCCAACCCAAGATCTTAAAATTTGCTCCTAAGTTTTCTTCTAAAGTTTGTATTGTTTTAGCTCTTATTAATACATTTAAATGCATGATCCACTTTGAGTTATTTTTTTCCATATAGTGTGAGGGTCTAAGGTAAGAGTCTAAGTTTATCTTTTTGCCTGTGGGTATCCAATTATCCCAGCACCATTTTTATTTATTTATTTATTTTGGAGATGGAGTCTCACTCTGTCACTCAGGCTGGAGTGCAGTGGTGTGATCTCAGCTCACTGCAACCTCTGCCTCTCGAGTTCAAGCAACTCTTCTGCCTCAGCCTCCTGAGTAGCTGGGACTGTAGGTGCACACCACCATGCCTAATTTTTTTGTAAGTTAGTAGAGACGGAGTTTCACCTTGTTGCCCAGGCTGTTCTCAAACTCCTGAGCTCGGGCAATTTGCCCACCTTGGCTTCCCAAAATGCTAGGATTAAAGGTGTGAGCCACTGCACCAGGCTCCAGCACGATTTTTTAAAACAGCTCTCCTTTCCCCAATGAATTGTACTGGCACTTTTGTCCAAAATCACTTGACCATAAATGCAAGGGTTTATTTCTGGACTCTCACTTCTGTTCCATTGATTTATGTGTCTATCCTATGCAAGTACCACACTATCTTGATAACTGTAGCTTTGCAGAAATTTTTGAAATTGGGAAATGAAAGTCCCCTACTTTATTCTTTTTTTCAGAATTGGTTTGTTCTAGGTATTGTGCATTTTCATATACCTAAACTCCTATTTTTGTAGATGAGAACACCAAAGTGCCCAGAGAACAAATGGTTTAAAAGTGTCTAAATAATTTTGTGCTAGCCTTCTGACATTTCAAAACTCATTCCATGTGATGGCTCATTTCTATGGCTCTACAAGCTCAAAGTAAACAATATACAGCATTTCTAGTGATCGTAAGCTCCCCAGCTATTTCTATCAGAGATCCCAGAGTCAGCAAGACCCTGTCCTCTGCACCTCTACCTTAAGTCACCTGATATCCTTTCCTGTCTGGCTCCTCCTCTAAAATCTCCCTACGAAGCTTAGATCTAGTCCATGGCATTGAATTAAGCATTTAGTATATGGATCTGGTGTTTGGAAAAGAACTTCACGTTGCCAGAAAAGTTGCTGCTTCAAAAAAATTGCATTCTGAGAGTCACATGTTTCAAATGAAACTGATTTGAAGCAGCTGAAATCTCCTGGAGTAGCACAACCAGGGTAGCTGGTGTGTACCAGCCAGCTATGTGCACAGCTTTTTATGAGCATTGCTGTCTGAATATAGCCTGTTTCTTCCAAATCTGGACCAATATCAGTAGCAAGGAGAAATGGAAAATTCATCTATTGATAGGATACTGAGGCTTCAAAGGGGCCCAGGAACCCATTTCTGCAAGTGTTTGCATGGGATACCAGTTACATTAACTGCTGTCCAGTTACCATTTACCATGACTTCTCTCTGTAAGAAGGCATTTGAGAAATAAGATGGTTTTCCTTCCTGTCTTTCTCTACCCCATTTATCAATATATCATTCACCCTCTGACTATGTTTCCTCATGCTTACCTTTCTATAGTAGCCGCCTTAAGAACAAGATGTGGTATGGCCTTCTGGGAAGCAAGGAACTTTTGCAGCGCACTTACAGGAAACTGGAAGAACGGGTGCATTTAGAGGTTAGTGGAAAGGAGGATGGTCTTTCCTGGGTATGGAGAAAGGAAATCTCACAGCCTTGGGAATACCCTATATTCTGGTTCTTCCTGAGCTTTAACTCTGTGATCCTCACAGCTCATGGGAGGAAGGCATGAAGATAGATTTCCATGTAATGGAAGAGAAGACAGAGCCCATTCCCCATCTCTGTAAATGTTCCTTCATTTTACTACCTAAAGATCCAGCTAATGAAAGCTACTCTTCTCTTTCAGTGTGATGGAGAACCCATCTCTTTGCCAAATCTGCAGGGCATTGTAGTGCTCAACATTACCAGCTATGCCGGAGGTATCAACTTCTGGGGAAGCAACACAGCAACCACGGTTAGTATGGAACAAGGAATGGGGAGGGAGAAAGGCACGATCCCACTATGGTCTCTCAGAAGGAAGTACTGTGCTGATTTAAGTGAAAAATGAACAATGGGAGAATAGGAGGTGGGCTGAGAACCTTTATTAGCAGCAGTTACGTGATCAGTTTTTTGGGCAATTACCATCCCAGAGCAGAAAATTTCGATCAAAGACCTCAGGAAAAGGTCAACTCTTAGGTGTTGCCTAGGCTTTGGATTTTCCATTCCTCAGGTCTGACAGATCCTTTAAAGGCTATCTAGACCATGCTTTTTTTTTTTAAGATAGAGTCTCACTCTGTCATCCAGGCTGGAGTGCAGTGGCATGATCTCGGTTCACTGCAACCTCTGCCTCCCGGGTTTAAGTGATTCTCCTGCCTCAGCCTCCCAAGTAGCTGGGATTACAGGTGCTGGCCACCATGCCCAGCTAATTTTTATATNAGAGACAGGGTTTAGCCATGTTGGCCAGGCTGGCCTTGAACTTTTGGCCTCAGGTGATCCACCCGTCTCGGCCTCCCAAAGTGCTGCGATTACAGGCATGAGCCACTGTGCCGGGCCAAGGCCATGCTCTTTTCTCCAAGGAATTCTGTCAATACAATCTCCTGGGAAGCTGACCATGACCCCTTTACTCTGAGTTCACCCAAGAAGGTCATAAGGCAAATGAGACTGGTCTCGGGGATTTATGATGCTGGATTGGATAAGGAAGGAACTGGCTAAGAGTTCAGTGCCCTTTTCCCAGATTGGCTTCCTGACCTCATCTTCTCCCCTTTTAATAATGCAGTTCTTCCACTCTCCATGAGCTAGAAAAATTCTCATCAGGAGCCTTTAAACATTCCTTCTTGTTATAGACAAGGTGTGGTTTCTCAAGGGTGGGAGATGTGACACAGTTCTTCTTTCTTAGGAATATGAGGCTCCTGCAATAGACGATGGGAAGCTGGAGGTAGTGGCAATCTTTGGTTCTGTGCAGATGGCAATGTCCCGTATCATCAACCTGCATCATCATCGCATTGCCCAGGTAGGCAGGGGCTGGATGGGCACCAGGAAGGGGCTGAGATTTCTGTCTGCTACCAAGGATGTGGGACAGTCCCAGGAATTAACTGGGTATAAGAATGCCAGGGTAGAGTGAGCAGGCTATCTGGTAACTGGTAAGGTGCTGACTGAGGTTGGAGGCAGAGGTGGCAGAGACCAATGGAGCAAAAAGCCCATAGTAAAAGCTGTTTCTTCCTGGGATGATCTGATTCACATATTTTCCAGTCCCACTTCAGATACACATTTGAGGCCATAACTATGAAATTACCAGATAGAGCTATAGCAGTTGCCTCATTTTTCTCTCCCATTCTTCCTCATTTTCTCTGGCAGTGCCGTGAGGTGATGATAACCATTGATGGTGAAGAAGGTATCCCAGTGCAGGTGGATGGGGAGGCCTGGATTCAGAGACCAGGCCTTATCAAGATTAGATACAAGAATGCTGCCCAGATGCTGACAAGAGATCGGGTAAGGGGGGAAAGCTTGTCTTGGGCTCCTATACTGTCTCATCTATAGCTGTCACTTGAGTACTGAATATTTCCACTCAAGCAGAATTCCTCAAAGGGATGTTGGTGAGCCCCTGGTATCAAAATCACTTGAGATTCTGGTTATAAATGCATATTCTTGAGCCCCACACTAGACCCACTGAACCACATAGGGATGCATAGTTCCCAGGAACCCAAATTTGCAAACAAGCTCCTCAAGACATACTGACATTTGCAAACACTGTTCAAGATAGATGAGGAGCTTCCTCCCCTGGTTTTGGGCAAGGTTATCCTCCTCTCTCCACTACAAAGACAGCTAAAGGCCTCAGATGATTATGGAAAAATCTTCTCTTTCAGCAACAGATTCTGCATTGAATATGGTCTTTAGGTGTCTCTAAGTTTCCTTAAAATGCTGCATTCATAAATGTCATCCACTTCAGCTATACCTTCTAAAGCTTAGAAACGTGCCATTATTGATCACATATTCAATGCTTGAAGATTATCTTGCACTCTTACCTGTGAAAAGTCCATAGAAACAACAATAGAGAAGGGAAGAGAATCCCAGTTTGTAAACTGCCTATTCTGTGCTAGGCACTTTACATTTCTCTCATGTAGATACTCCCCACAATCCTATGAGGTGGATACAATTATTCCCATTTTACAGATGAGGAAAATGAGGACCAGAGAGATTCAATAATTTGCTAATGGTCAGATAACTAGTAAATGACAGAAACATGATTCAAAATTAAATTAGATATGTCTGGATCTAAACTGTGTCACCACATATTGCCTACATTTGGTAAAGAAGGGAGCACGAAAGGTGATCCACTGTCTTGTCAGTTATGATGCCTTCATATAGGAGCTTCTAGAAAGCAGACATGTGTTTGACCCAAGCCTGGTATCCCAAAACCCAGCATATTGACAACAACAAAAGCTAAAAGGGCAGAGTCCAGAAGAGATATTGAATAAAATGATGGATACTTGTATAGGTATATAGATGGGTATGAGAGGGGGAATGGTCAGGGGCCCTCCTTCCTCTTTACTCACTCTACCCACATACCCATTGCCCGCAAATGTCAGACTCATAGACAGATCTGTCATGTGCCCTAGTAGCTACAGCAATCATTAGGATATGCCACTGTATTCATCTCCAGGACTTTGAGAACTCAATGAAAACATGGGAGTGCAAGCATACTGAAATTCAAGCTGCCCCTCAACCCCAGCTGCACTCCCAGGACTCTCAAGAGTGCCTCTCTGATGAGGAGTATGCCCAGATGCAGCACTTAGCTCGGCTTGCAGAAAACCTCATCAGCAGGTAAGTGTACTGGCCTAGATACAGAGCTGAGAATCCCAAGAAGGCATAGGGAGAAGAAGCCATTTTATATCTATTGGCCACCAGGAAGCCTGGCCTCAGAGAGGAATTTAGCTTAGAGCTCTAAAGATTGAGTAGGACTCTCACAATCCAGGCAGGAAATATTCTTTCTGCTCAGCAATAAGCCAGCTTAGACATCTCTCACTAGACCCAGGGATGAATTTGGATCTCTTGATGCTGCTCCAAGCCCAACAGAACTAAGACTGTTTACCCTTGCCCCTAAATATCAGGAGGGCCTTGGAGTTCCTGGAGTCAGCTGCCCTCCTCTATTCTAGCCTCCTACCCTCCCCAAGGTCCCAGTATCTAAATTCAGGTGAGACAGGGATGAGTAAAGGTAAATACCTAGAGAAGAGTAGAAACATTTTCTAGAATAGGTAGCTCCCTAGAGAAGAGCAGAACAAACAGGAGGGAGTCATGAATCCAAGTCAGGTACCCAGGGCTTTCATTTCTACTGTTACCCAAACCCTCACCAGTGCCCCAGGCCAGAAGTCCTTCAGAAATCCCAACTCATCTATCTGTCCTTGCTTTATTACAGACTTAATGACCTGAGCAAGGTCCACCAGCATGTATCTGTCCTCATGGATTCTGTGAATGCCAGTGCTAATGTCCTGAATAATACATTTTATGGCCAAGACAGTAGCAGTGAGTTGGGCGCAGCTTCCTGTATTCCCATTGAAGTAAGTGGAAAAGGAGTGAAATAAGGAAAGTGACAAAACCAAATAGGAAAGAGGATGAAAGGGAAGGAAGCGGAACAAGGGGCTGGATGGAGAAACTGGGCAAATATGGCAGGAAACTGATGGATAGAGTGGATGGGAAGGCAGTCATTCCTTGACTTTACAGGTCCAAGTTGGTTACTGAGGGAAAACCACAGCAGATTTCATCAGTCTGAGAGCTAGCCCTCTTCCCTAATAGCCATCCACCACACCACCCTCAAGGGAGAAATGGACAATGAATGAAGAGAAACTTGGCCTTGGCCCTTCCTTATCCCAAGTAGATCTCTGTATAACCGGATAAGGTGACACATGTCACTGAAACCAGAACTTCCGGGTGCCTTGGTTTTCCTCTTGAGGGAAAAGTCCAGATCAAGCTGGACACTTAATGTTAAATGTGCCACCCCATGGCTTTGTCCATTGCCAGAATTGTTCAGTGATGCTTTTAAAAAGTAACTTTAGTGCTAGGCGAAAGATATAATTGTGTCAGGGCCTGATTACAGTTGGAGAAGGCCTGCAGCTCAAGGCCTTAGTTGCAAGAAGAGAGATGGTAGGCCCTAATTCCACCTGCCCTGGAATGATGGTTTTGGCCTAGAGACAAGAAGTGGCCTTACATTTATTCTCTTGTTTGCATATTTTCTATTTTCCTATACCCACTGCAATCAATCAACGATGCCAAAGCCAAGTCGTGCTCTGCCACTTCACATAGTAGTACACAACTCCTGTACCAGCAGTTGTCAGCTTGTACTGGTTCAGATTGGTTGGTGCTCATGCTGAACTAATTGTGTTATATTTTGAATATTGCTTTTTCAACTATAGCCACATCCTACTAGCCTCCTTCTACCTTCTCATGGAGAAGCCAGCTGCATGCTTACTAACCAACAACTCCCCTGTCTTTGTCTTTTTCTCTCCTTTTCCTTTATTCTCCTCTCAGACTCTAAGCAGAAATGATGCCGTAGATATTACGTTTAGTCTTAAAGGACTCTATGATGACACCACAGCTTTCCTGGATGAAAAGCTGGTGAGTGCAGGGGATTGAAACATGGGAGGGCAATGTATTCCATCTGAATGTGGTCATGGTCTTGTGCTTGGTCCAAGGGCACTGGAGACTTGTGGGAGCATTTTGGCCAGGTGCTTGCCTGGAAGTCCTGACTGTGTCACCTAGGATTGTTGTTGATTGTATGATTTCATGGGTTTTGCTAATCCATAGGGATTACCATATTCTTGGGAGAAAGTCTCAACCTGTCCTTCGGTAAATGTCTTGTGGGTTCAGACCAGGCCAATAAAAAGTAGAGTGTTATCGTACTTGATTCAGCTGCAGTAGAAAAAGATGAGCTCTTTGAGCTGCTTTGTACTTCCCAAGTTTCTACATGCCTCTTTCATGTAGAAACCTGTGAAAAGGTGGTATGGATTAGTAGAAATATTGAGAGATTCTTGGTTCAAGTCTCAAATCTACCACTTACTAGTTATTAATATATTAGCTTCCTAAGGCTACCATACCAAAGTACCAAAAACTAGGTGTCTTCAAACAATCAAAATGTATTGTCTCACAATTCTGGAAGCTAGAAATCCAAAATCAAGGTATCAGCAGGGTCATCCTGTAAAACCCGTAGAGGGGTCTTTCTTTGCCTCTTTTTAGCTTTCAGTGGTTTTCTGGCAAGCTTTGGTGTTTCTTGGATTGTCTTCACAAGGCCATCTTCTTATGAGGACACCAGTCACACTGGATTAGGGCCTACCCTATCCAATATGACCTCTACAACTAACTACATCTTACAATGACCCTATTTCCAAATGAGGTCACATTCTGATGTACTGGGGATTAGGTCTTCAACGTATCATTCCTGGGGGGGACACAATTCAACCCATAACACTAGCTACATGACTTCACCTCTCTGGATCTTAGTTTCCTTATCTACAAGATAGGAATTATAATCCCTACCTCTCCAGGTTGTTGTATACTAACTATCAGCACCTAACACATACTAGCAGCTTGATAGATGGTACATTTTATTGGTGCTAGGGAGAACAGACTGAGGCTCCATTTTTAGGCTACAAGGCTAGTTGCATGTTTCTCAGAATGCAAAACCCGTAGGCATACTTGGTGAGTGTGCTCTGATTAGGTGACTAATTATGATCATCCATTTTAAGGTTGGCTGGTAAGGCCCTGAGGTAGGTGCTGTTCTTGCCTCTCATCTAATTAAGATTTATTTGAAGAGGGGCTTCTGACTTGATATTGCAAGAAGTGCATCTATTTCCTCTTTTCATTTGCTCATCTAATTGGCACACTGCACAGGAGGCAGAGTGGCTAAGGCAATCAGGTCAGGCTGTCCCAACATCTGAGCCCCAAGCTAGTCTTTCAGCTTTAGACAACATCAACAGAAGTATCTTCTATATATAGGCAGAGCTCAATGGCCTTGCCTATTTGGGCAGCAGGAAATAGGTGAGTTTGGTCTCTTGTTGCCACTCAGACTTTCCTGAGGCTCACAACCTGAAAATTGGTTCGCATGAACCAACAACCCGACTTGAGCACACACCACACTTGAGAAGTCTGCCACCCCATAGGGCCTGGTGAAGACTTCAACACACATACACATCCACACATCCAAATGTGGCCAAAAAGCAGGCAGCAGCTAAGAATGACCATATATCTCCAGAAAGGCTGTCATAGAGGTGAGATGAAAATAAAGCTTGTTTCATTTGGGTGTTATTCCTCCCCTTGAAGAAGGAGGGCAGTAAAGAGCTCAGAGTTAGCAAGGGGAAGTAAACTGATGTCAAAGTGAATCCCACCCAGTAACTCCCAATTTCCTTACTTGGCACACGCATGTCCCGTGCATCTAGGGCAGTCTGTATTCTCGTAAGTTACTAGTTGAAAAGCAAAAGACATTGTTTGTCAGAACTGACTTGTTGCCCCCACAATATCCCATCGTGACTGACCGTAACCTCCTACCCTGTAGTATTCCTCTCATTCACATGCCACCCATTTGTGACAGCTGACAAGGCTCGACCTATGGCTGGAGCAGCAAGTGGCCTGTGTACAGCAAGAAGGCACATAAGTGCTAGATTGAAAGTAAAGTGCATGCCAGGCAGGAGAGGTGAGGCCAGGTTAGGTGGGCTGTAAGTATGTGAGGGTTGAAGATATCTGTGCCCATCCATTCTCCCAGCTCACTACTTACTGGAATATGAACTATCGTACCTGTGTTGATGTTCTAGAACTTGGTTCTTCTCAGTTGAAGATGGTCCCAAAAGAATCCATTTTAAGTCTTCCATGGACTGTACAGAGTTCATCCTCTGGGTTTTGGGGGTTACTAGGAAGATTTGCTTCCTGAACCTATGGGACAAGCTATCAAGAACTCACTTCTTAATTAGTAAGAGTGATAGCTGGGGGCAAAAGCACACACTGGGGAGACAGACCCTCTTTTCCAAGAGGAGAAAGTTGAGCCAGTCTCTCTCTATCTCTCTCCTTGCTTCACAAAACAACCTTTAAATTACAGTAAGCATGTAATTGATTCTCTCAGCATCTGGCCTCCCTACATGTCCTTGCTAAGACGGTGTTATATAGAGGGTAGGCTATAGAGTTAAACCGACCTGGGTTCTGTTTAGCTGTGTGATCTTGAGCAGTAAACTTCTTGGAGTCTGTTTTCTTACTCATGGAATGAGAACACTAGTACCTTGTAAGGTATTGTAAGGTTACTGGGAAGATGGGACGAAATTATGTATGTACAGTGCTTGGCATACAGTATGTGCTCAAAACTTCATAGCTCTTACTTAGGAGAACACTGGGATGTCTTCAGGAACTTGAGGTCAAGAGTAGGACCCCTGTCCTGGACTCCAAGCTATAGGAGTGAAGCTCGGTGTTAATTGATACTAATCAAAAGGCCTCTCTGCTTGCGAAACTATTAAGCATGCCCAGCCCCAAGGAGAACCCCACCATTTGGTTGTTTTCTGGTTATTCCTATTGAGAAAGAAAAGAGCTGGCTATGGGCCAAAGGGATACAAGTTGGCACCTTGTGGTCTCTTGGCCACTAGCAGGGACTGCGAGTGCGGGAGAGTGTAAGAGTCTACAAAAGTGCTAGTTATTGGACACTCACTCTTTTTCCTGTCTATGCCAGCTGAGAAGTTCTGAGGATGAGGCCACATTACAAAGCACCCTGGATGCCATGAATAAAGAGTTCAAAAAGCTATCTGAGATAGACTGGATGAATTCGATCTTTGTTCCAGAGGTGGGTAACTTGGGAATTGGGAAATAAAGGGAAAGAGGGATTCTTCCTTAGTGCCTTCCCTTCCAGTGTGGGCCAGGACACAGTGACTGATTGTAGTACAGGGGGTCCAGTGCTGGCTTTCAACTGAAGCTTACTGGAACTTCCTCCCCACCTACCTTCCCCCAATCTCTTCATCATAAATAGATAGGGTAAGGCAAAAAACATGTAGAAAAATTAGGCGATTATAGAAAAATAACCAGAAAGAAGTCTCATTCTGTACCAAGAGATGATCAACAAAGAATAAACAAGATAGGTTTTCCCATGTGTTGTTTTCCTGTCTGCAAACTCCCCCTCCCTGCTCAGCACCTGCTGCCAGGACTGAACTTCATCTGGGTCATACTGGTGGTTAAATCTTCCAAATATTACCTCTCCCTGCTGCTTCCCGTCCCTCCTGCTCTGGGTTTTCTGGCAACAAACTTAATCTCAAAATTATGTTTTACTGAGATCAGTAGTAAAACAAGCACACTTTAGCAGGCCTGAGCTGGAATTACAGAGCCTGCAAGATCTGCACAGCAGAGAGCCGACATTCATAGTAGTTATGTTTAGAAAACCCTCTTTGCATTCCAGACAGGGAAGCAGCTGGCCTGGCAGGCAGGGGGCTTCCCTATAAGAAGGTATTTGGCCAAGAGGCAAGTAAGGGCTCACCAAACAGTATGTCTGAAGGAAGAGGTGTTTTTACCTAATT